CGACAAGGGGTTAACATCCAAAATATATAAAGAACTCACATGCCTCATCACCCTAAAGGCAAATAACCCGATTTAAAAATGGGCAGAGGATATGAACGGACAATTCTCCAAAGAAGAAATTCAGATGGCCAACAGGCACATGAAAAGATGCTCCACATTGCTAATTATCAGGGAAATACAAATTAAAACCACAATGAGATACCACCTCACACCAGTTAGGATGGCCAACATAGAAAAGACTAAGAACAACAAATGCTGGTGAGGATTCAGAGAAAGGGGAAACCTCTTACCCTGCTGGCAGGAATGTAAACAAGTTCAACCATTGTGGAAAGCAATATGAAGGTTCCTCAAAAAACTAACAATAGAAATACCATTTGACCCAGGAATTCCACTCCTAGGAATTTACCCAAAGAAAACTACTTCTTGGATTCAAAAAGACATATGCACTGATGTTTATTGCAACACTATTTACAATAGCCAAGATATGGAAGTAGCCTAAGTGTCCATCAGTAGATGAATGAATAAAGAAGATATGGTACATATGCACAATGGAATACTATTCAGCCATAAGAAAGAAACAAATTCTACCATTTGAAACAACCTGGATGGAGCCAGAGGGTATTATGCTCAGTGAAATAAGCCAGGCAGAAAAAGAAAAATACCAAGTGATTTTCCTCATTTGTGGAGTATAACAATGAAGCAAAACAGAAGGAACAAAATAGCAGCAGACTCACACAGTCCAAGGGGCTAGTGGTTACGAAAGGGGAGGACTGAGTGAGGGAGGGTGGGGTGGGAGAGATAAGGGGATAGTGGGGCATAATGATTAGCTGACATGGTGTGTGGGGGGTCACAGGGAAGACAGTGTAGCATAGAGAAGATAAGTAGGGATTTTGTGGCATCTTACTACACTGATGGGCAGTGACTGCAATGGGTTATGGAGGGGGGACTCGATAATATGGGTGAATGTAGTAACCACATAAGAGTATATATCAATAATACCTTAATAAAAAAAAGAGAAATAAAAGGCCTCCAGATTGGTAAAGAAGTTAAACTGTCTCTCTTTGCAGATGACATGATATTGTACAGAAAAAATCCTAAAGAATCCACTCTAAAACTACTAGATCTAATATCTGAATTCAGCAAAGTTGCAGGATACAAAATCAATACACAGAAATCTGTTGCATTCGTATATGCTAAGCTGAACTAGCAGAAAGAGAAATCAGGAAAACAGTTCCATTCACAACTGCATTAAAAATAATAAAATACCTAGGAATAAACCTAACCAAGGAAGTGAAAAATCTATACTCTGAAAACTACAAGACACTCATGAGAGAAATTAAAGAAGATACCAATAAATGGAAATATATCCCATGCTCATGGATAGGAAGAATTAATATTGTCAAAACGGCCATCCTGCCCAAAGCAATCTACAAATTCAATGCAATCCCTATCAAAATACCAGCAACATTCTTCAATGAACTAGCACTAATAGTTATAAAATTCATATGGAACTACAAAAGACCCCGAATAGCCAAAGCAATCCATAGAATAAAGTGGGATTCTGCTCCCTGACTTCAAACTCTACTACAAAGTCACAGTAATCCAAGACAATTTGTTATTGGCACAAGAACAGACCTATAGGCCAATAGAACAGACTAGAGAGCCCCAATATAAACCAAAAAATATATGGTTAATTAATATATAATAAAGGAGCCCTGGGCATACAGTGGGGAAATGATAGCTTCTTCAGCAACTGTTGTTGGCAAAACTGGACAGCTACATGCAAGAGAATGAAACTGGATTATTGTCTAACCCCATACACAAAAGTAAACTCGAAATGTATCGAAGACCTAAATGTAAGTAACAAAGAAAAAATAGGCAAAAATCTCCTGAATATAAATGAGCAACTTTTTCCTGAATACATCTCCTTGGGCAAGGGAAACAAAGATAAACATATGGAATTACATCAAGCTGAGAAGCTTCTGTACAGCAGAAGACACCATTAGCAGAACAATAAGGCATCCTACTGAATGGGAGAATATATTTGTAAATGACATACCCGACAAGGGGTTATCATCGAAAATATATAAAGAACTTACACGTCTCAACACCCAAAAGCAAGTAACCCGATTTAAAAATGGGCAGAGGATATCAACAATTCTCCAAAGAAGAAATCCAGATGGCCAACAGGCACATGAAAAGTTGCTCCACATCGCTAATTATCAGGGAAATGCAAATTAAAACCACAATGAGATATCACCTCACACCAGTTAAGATGGCCAACATAGAAAAGACTAACAACAAATACTGGTGAGGATGCAGAGAAAGGGGAACCCTCCTACACTGCTGGTGGGAATGTAAGCTAGTTCAACCATTGTGGAAAGCAATATGGAAGTTCCTCAAAAAACTAAAAATAGAAATACTATTTGACCTGGGAATTCCACTCCTAGGAATTTACCAAAATAATACAAGTTCTCAGATTCAAAAAGACGTATGCTTCCCTGTTTATTGCAGCACTATTTACAATAGCCAAGATATGGAAGCAACCTATAGATGAATGGATAAAGAAGATGTGGTACATATATACAATGGAATACTATTTAGCCGTTAGAAACAAATTCTACCATTTGTAAAAACATGGATGGACCTGGAAGGTATTATGCTGAGTGAAATGTCAGGCAGAGAAAGACAAGTACCAAATTGATTTCCCTCATTTGTGGAGTCTAACAACGAAGCATAACTGAAGTAACAAAACAGCAGCACACTCACAAACTCCAAGATGGTAATAGAAGTTACCAAAGGGGAGGAGTGGGGAGGGCGGGAGAAGGGAATTAAGGGGTATTATGATTAGTACACTTGGTGTTGTGTGGATCATGGGGAAGACAGTATAGCACAGAGAAGTAGTTACTCTGTGGCATCTTACTACACTGATGGACAGTGATTGCAATGGGGTGTGTGGTTGAATGTAGTAACCGCATTGTTTTTCTTGTGAAACCTTCCTAAGAGTGTATATCAATAACAACAAAAAACAATTGTGGAAGAAAAACAAAAAACCATCAAAAATACTCAGTTTTATGCTGGCTCCATGCCCTGCCAGGACTCATGCTTTGGTCACCTTGTCCACAGCCTGGGACATGGAGTCAGGTAAACAAGGGCCACCATCCTAGCAACACCCCTCTATGGGCTGGATTAGGTCAAAGTCCTCTGAGTCCTAGTTTTCCCATTAGGAAGCTGTGTAGAAGAATCACTACTTTTCAAAAACATTTCTGTGGTGCAAACTGTACCAGATTAATGTTTTGTAGATACCTATTAATAAAAACATTTTAATGAAATTCCATTTTCCAGGCTCTGGGTTACCCATATACTGTGTACCATGCTAACATATTTTCTCATTCCTTTGCTTTCCATTTCTATGCTGCTCTTTTTGGAGAAAGGAGCAATTTTTGCCCACATTTGGGTGATAAATGATTCCCATTACATAGTGTGTGTATTGAGAAATGAAGTTTGTGCCTATGGATGAAAGTGGTTTTGGAGTACCTGAAGTACTTGTGAAATCAGTGATCAAAAACTTGAGATGCAAAGTTTTGGTATTTCCTTTATAAATAATATTTGTATGTATTTTATGTATCATCTTGATTAGGCAGCTGAAAATTTTACATGTGGAATATAGAATGTAACATGAAATACATGTTAGGAATTTAAAGCACTTTATAAATAATGTACCTAATCCCAAATAATCCCATGAAGTTGGTACTCTTCATCATCACATCATGCAGATGAAGAAACAGGTCCCAAGAAGGTTAAGTAGCTTGTCCAGGGTCACACCATTAGTGAGTGGACTGAAGCCTGGCTCCCAGTGTTCTCTGATAGATCTACTTCACCAAAATGTGGAATTTACTTTATGTCACATCTTAAGTGCTTGCCAGAAAACCCTGTTTTCCCCTCAAATTCTGAGAGGTGTTCCTTTATCTCTAATTTGTAGACATCCCCTAATGGCAACCTCAGATTATCTCCACCTCAAAGCTTCATTTACACAAAAGTGAATACCCCAGTATAAAACTTGGAATTCAGGTCTGCTGTTACTCCCTCACTTGCCCATAAAGTAATTTCCAAAAAGTAGATGTCCAAATTCAGTTGTCTTAACCCAACAGCTCTTCATATTCCCCCTAGAACTACATATACCTGGTCATTCTTTTCTCTCTTCCTGAACTCCCATTTCTTTCCATCTTTTTTCCTTTCCACCCCTTTCCCTAGTTCAACATTTAGTTACCTCATCCCAGTAAAAGATATGGGCTCCACCCCAGTGTTCCTACAGTCCACTTCCCCATCATTATCTAAAATCACCCCCAACCACTTGTAACTTAGTTTACTTCATAAACCTATCTCCTCAATCTAAGTCTAAGAAAAATGGCCACACCTGTCATGACCCCTAATTCCCAAATAGTTTTTTCTTCCAAGTTCCTTTCCTAGGTTCCAAAAATAGCCGTCTGTTTCCTCATTTTTTTTTTCAAGGCCCACCCTCAAGTGATCCTGTGAAATATCCAAGTTCTGGATCATCTTTCCCATCTCTGAACATGTGGCAACTGAGAATCTAGGGTACCACACATCTGAGAATTAACCAAGACCCCGTGTGCTCTTCTGTATCTGGACTGTTAAGGAGGCAGACCTTGTCTCTGCCCTTTTTGTACACCCTGCAGGACTGTATACGCTGGTAGTTTCAGTAACTCTTGGAAGTATGGGTACTCTGATCCCTGACCACAGGGGAGGGCCTAGACAGTGAGAGACCCAATCATCCTAGACCACTTTTCCTTCTTGTCTGAAGGGTTGGGGAAGGGAAGGCTGCTCCTCAAAACAGCATGACTATCGCACGGTAAGACTTCCAGTGAGACCCATGTGCACTAGTGGGCAAGAGGAGGCAGTGAATGCTGCAGGCAAACCGAGGAGAGAAAATTAAGACAGAGACCTGTTCCAGCTCTTAAGAATCTACAAACAGTGACAGGTTGGCAGCAACTCTTTTTTTTAATGTCTTGCCCTTGTAAAGGGCGATTCAAGTTGAGCAGCATTCCTTTCCTGCCCCCAAGCTGCTCCCAACCAGACAAGAGACTGCAGACACCAAACTCTGGGATGGTTAACAGTGCAGGCCTCAGAACTCTCCAGGCCCAGTTTGCAATAGCTGTTTGTATCAGGAGGTCTGCATAAAATCCACCATGAAAGAGCAGAACCACTCAAAGGCCAGGGCAGGCCGCTGGGCCTGAAGATTTAAGGTGGACCAGAGGCAGGATTCTGAATGATGACAGTCTTGAGACAACTGGCCATGTAGGCTTGACTGCTGGAACCCCCCCAAGAAACACCTCTGTTTGAAGAGAGGGATGTCAAGGATAAGGCCAGCTCAGTTGTCTAAAGAAAGCAGAAGAGACAAGTTTTCCAGAGAAAAGGAAGAAATTGAAGTGGAATCCTGGACACATCAAGACCATGCTCTGCCTTCATGTGTCTGAGTGGTTGCTGGGTTGGCTGCAGATGAGAGGCAGGCTTCCAAGTGGAGAGAGGGAGACAACAGGGGACTTCCAGGCCACACAAGCTTATATTCCGGGGCTTCCAGGAAGGACAGCTCACTCTCGGGATCGGCTGACCACGACTTCACCCAGGGCCTCCAACACCTCCCGCTTGTAGTCCTCAAAGTCACCGTCAATCTGGCTAACACTCTGCTCCTCCACCACCCACAGCTGGCAGTTGGTTTCTGTGATGAGTCGGGCATCGTGGCTGACGACGATGACAGCTTTGAAGAAAGACGTGAGAATGGAGGGCGGAGGAAGGAGGGACCAGGAGAAGAGGGGAATCAGAACCTGAAAGGAGGAGCCCTAGCCAAAGGACACCAAAGGCTGGTCCCTAGGGAGGAGGGCGTGCCCAAGCTGACTTACCACCCTTGTATTCATTGATGGCCTCCCCCAGAGCATCGATTGACTCGATGTCCAAGTTATTGGTGGGCTCGTCCTACAGAGGTAGAGGCATTCCATCACTCAGTGCCACGCTCCTTCCATTTCCGCCACCTCATCCCTCTCCCACAGTCCTGTCCACTCACCAAGATGAGGACATCAGGCTCCCGACAGGCCAGCTCTGCAAACACAACTCGGGCTTTCTGCCCACCTGTACCGAAAGAAAAGGAGGTCCATCACACTTTGCTGCCTTCCATTTCTGAAGGCAAACCTTCGGAGTGAAGGTGTATCTGTGTGTGTGCTGAGGTCTTCCAAGTCCCCATTCCTCTTCCTTTTGTTGCTACGTACTGCCTGGAGATAGGACTACTGAGGTGGCAGTCACCTCCCCAGCACTCCAGCCCAGTGGTACCAGAAAGTTTGCAGATCTGGATGGTGTGGGCGTGACTCTCAAGGCCAAAGCGGCCCAAGCACTTCCGGGCATCCTGGTAGGGCAAGTTGAAGCCCCGCTGCAGGTACTCAGTGGGCGTCTCCTCCATGCGCAGCTGCTCTGCATACTGCTGGTTGAAGAAGCCAATTTTCTGCCCAAGAAAAGAGTGAAGCGGTCAGGGAAAGTCCTACTTCCTTTACCATATTCTTGTTCCCTAAGTCCAAAGCCAACTTACCAACCGGTGGTTCTTTCTCATTTCCCCACAAGTCTGCAAGGAAAAAGCCAGCGAGAAGATCAGGGAAAGGGAAGAGGCACTGCAGTTCCACTCCCCGCTTTGCTGACAAGGAGACAAATACCAAATGTGCGCTGCGAACAAGTCAGTGTGCAAGTGGGAACACACAGGCACACTCAGGAAGTCAGCACAGAGCACAGGGGGCCAGAGAAGGAAGGAGGCAGACAGGCCGCAGTAATGACTGGGGGTACTGACCACAACCATGAGCACCCCACCCCCATGAGACTCACGGGCAGTACATTTTCAGGGTCCTTCCTCAGATGGGGTAAGAGGCGGTGTGTGGGAGGGTCTAAAAATGCTATTCTACACATCTTCTCTTTGTGTGAGGAAAGGGGCCCTAGACTCTCCTGGAGATGGCCACAATGATCAAAAGCACTGCATGGCAACATACTGCAAATCCTAAAAACAGTTCTAGGGAATTTATCCTAAGGAAGAATTCACCAATATGTACTTACTTACTCCAACATTGTCCTTCAGTGAAAAATCAGGAATAAATTACAGATCCATAAGAATGTACACAGATAATTAGTGGCATGGAAAAAAGCTTGACATATATTACCCAGGAAAATGATGCATATTACTACAAAATTCATAATAGCTCATTTTTGTTGAAAAATGAATTATTACATTTGCAAAGGAAAAAAAAGGGGAAAGAGACCCATCAGAATACCGGTTATGTCTTCACTCATCTCTGGCCTATACAAGTATTTCCTGTATAACCAATACACACACGGAGGTGGGTGCCCCCCAGGCAACTCCAGTTCTCCTGACTCTTTTCCCTGAGCTGATCTCAAGTGTTCTCTAAGCACCTCTTAGGGAAAGAAATCATCTATGATGAGTTCTGTATTCAACCCTCCACCACAGAGGGGGCGCCCTGATTCTAGGCTCTGGTGACCAGCCGTGTTTCCCCTTTCCAGTCCCAGCTCTTACTCACCGGTGTCAGCTTGCCGGTCAGCAGCAGAAGCAGGGTGCTCTTCCCTACGCCATTAGGGCCAACGATACAGACTGTAAGGAGAACAGGTAGTCAAAGAGGTCCCCCAGAAACTTCCCCTGTGCTCCTGCCCCACATCCCCAAGCCACCTGACACCCACTCACTCCTTGAGTCCATGTCGATGCCAAAATCCAGATTCTTAAAGAGTGGTTTCTGGCTCTCATAGCCAAATGTCACACCTGGGAGCCAGGAAATCAGCAATTATTTTCAGAGTCCCCCTGAATGTCCTGGACTTGGAGAAAGGAATGGCCCACACTGCGTGGTGGATTTGGGGTGCATATGTCCTGTGTGCCCCAGTCTCTCACCATGCAGACCCAGCACCGGAGGGCTGAGTGGTGGGGGGTTGGGAAAAGTGAAGCGCACAGTGTACTCCTTGGGGCGCTTCAGAAGCTCGGGGGCCTCCTGAGATTCCTCATCCTGGTTTTTCCGTCGGCATTTCTGCTGCTTTCGAGTCAGGGCTTCCTTTGTTTGCTTCTCCTGGACAGAATGGGAAAGGAAGAAATCCACATCCTTCAGAGCCACCCTTGAAATGCAGGCTGGTGTCCCACAGTCTCCTTTCTCCGTTCTCCTTAAAGAAACCATGCCCCAGCCCCCTGAAGACCTCCAGCTGCTCACCGCTTGCTTGGTGGATTTGCCACCTGCCTTTAGCTCCTTTAGCTTTTTCTCCTGCTTTTCATACTGCTTCAGCAGTTCCTTCTGCTTTTGCTGGTACATCTTCTTGAAGGTCACTGGGGCAGAAGTGGGGTAGGAATTAATGTTGTCCCTCTCTGCAGCAGAGGGATAACCAGGACTGGTGAGGATAGGGACAAGTGTTACAGTCTAGATTCTGGGAAGGTATAGCTCATCATCACGTGCCTACAGGCCCTCCCTCCCAGACCTCTCCTTGAGGCCCTGTTGCTTTCCTCTACCCACAAATGATCCTACTTACTATAATTGCCCCTATAGTAATGGAGTCGCTGGGCATCAAGATGGATTATATCAGTGCACACATCATCCAGGAAGCCCTGGTCATGAGAGACGATGAGTAACGTCTTCCGCCAGCCCTGGAGGTAGCTGAGTTTTAGAGAAGAGTGTGGAAATGTCATAATGGTCACATTAGGGTTAAGTCAGGAAACAATGGGGTCAGGGAGGGAAGGTGGGGAGGTGGACAGGGAGCTGTCAAGGGCAGAGTGGAGTACACTTAGAGCAAACCGGGCAGAATGGGAACCAATGATGTAATCAACGGCAACTCACTTATTGAGCCAGATGACAGCATTGAGGTCCAGATGATTAGTGGGCTCATCCAACATCAGCAGCGTGGGCTCCATGAACAGTGCCCTAAAGGATGGGCAGCAGAGCATAGGGTCAGGGAGATCCTTACTCAGAGAACCCCAGAGAAGCCTGAGACCATGAACACTCCCTTCCCAATCTCTCCGTAGAGTAGCTCCTGTGCAGGGGACATCGCTGAGAATGTACCACCAGATGGGGAGAGAAGACCTGGAGTCTGACAATTCTGACAGTAAGGGAGGGAGAAGTCAGCCTCGACTCTTTCTATTGGCCTTGGAAGGAAGGGCCTGGTGGACTGAGGGTGGAAGGGTGGCGGCCCACCTGGCCAGGGAGACACGCATGCGCCAGCCCCCTGAGAACTTCTGTGTCGGCCGGTTCTGCATTTCAGGGTCAAAGCCCAGACCAGCCAGGATCCGTCTGGCTTTGGCCTCTGCAGCTGCTGCCCCAGTAGCCCGCAACTCCTCATATACCTGGGAGGAGGGAGAAGAGGACACGTGTCCTAAGGTCCCAGGACCTCCAAGTCTTAGCCCATGTCCCCTGCGCCATCTCCTCTACCTTCTCCAGCCTCTCAGCAGCAGTGTCATCCCCCTGCTCCAGCAGGCCCTGAAGCCGTCGCTCCTCTTCCAGCAGCTTCAGTCTCTTGGTGTCGGCTCGGAGAACAGCCTGCACAGCTGGTGTCTCATCCGCCACGACCTCTGGACGTGAGGGAGAATGTCAGTCAGGTTTCCCCCAGGGCCCAGGTCCTCATTCTCTTTCCCGCAGGTCCATTTCTCATTTGCCTGCCCCAGCCCAGTAATTTGTACTTGTTCCACATAAAACGTTCTCCATTCCTGCCTTTCCTCTTCCCTATTTCTTTAGTGACCACCTCCCAGTCCTTAGTACCCCTGTCACCTTTCCAACTCTATGACCACACCTCCTCCTATTTTTGCTTGGCTCTTCTACCCCAGCTGCCCACCACTCCGGTCCCTTGTTTCACCTCCCCACCAGGACCCCGTCCCAGCACTGGCCTCACCCTGCTCACATAGCAGAACGTCGATGTTCGGAGGGATGCTCAAGGTTCGGTTGGCGATATGCTTGAGGAGAGTGGTCTTGCCCTTGCTGAGGAATGAGAGCTGCTGGGACCAGGCTGCCATGGACAGATCTCTTCTTCTCCTTCCTGCCCACTCCCTCACACCTCCAACCCCCTTCTCACCCGTTGGGTCCCACAAGCCCGTAGCGGCGGCCGGCTACAATGTACAGGTCTGCGTTGACAAATAACTCCTTGCCATGGGCTGAGATGCTGAACTTCTCCAGCTGCAGTCATCAGGGAAGGAATGGCAGAGGAAGGAAGCAGGACACGGGAGCTCTTTTTAGACAGAAGCTGCAGTTTTCTCCCTGGCAGGGATGCCTCTGACAGACCGAGCTTCAGTATAATCCCTCCTCTCACCATGCTGGTTCCCGTCCCTGTCCAGACTTTCCTAGAGTCTCCCAGATCCTAAGCCAGTCTCGCCCACCCCGCCTGACTTCCTTCCAAGGGTGGACCACTCTACTTCCACTGCTGTTGGTTTTTCTGTCTCTCACTCAAGCTGGCAGAACTCTAGGTACGGAAAACAGCTCCAAACTTTCTTCCTGGTGGACCAAGCCACTTGCACTCATTTCCTTGGCTACCACGGCCACCAAAGGAAAGGATAACTGGCACTTCCCTGAGCAAGCAGGTTGGCAGGTGTCCTCTCAGACCCTACCTTGATGTCAGATGCATTTTCTAACATGGCTTGGCGGGAGGACACCTCCGCTTGAGACACAGAGAAATCATTTTCAGCAGCATTGGCTGCTTTTAATGAAGCTACCTGGCGCTCATACTCCATCTGAAAAGGAAAAAACACATACGAGGCCATCACCTGCCAGTTTCCCATCACCACGACATAGCCCCATGTCATCATCAGACACCCAGACAGGCTCACAAAACACAAAATCCTTATTCCAGCTGTTTTACTTGTGGTAGCCTCCAAAGCTCTCCATTTTGTCCAATTCACATGTTCCCTTGTTGAAGTATTAAAAAGAAAATCATGTCCTACCTGTCTGTAACCATTAAGAACCCAAGGACTTACTTGTTTCTTTAGCTTCTTCTTCTCCTTTTTGCTAAGGTGTACCCAGGAAAATGATGCATATTACTACAAAATTCATAATAGCTCATTTTTGTTGAAAAATGAATTATTACATTTGCAAAGGAAAAAAAAGGGGAAAGAGACCCATCAGAATACCGGTTATGTCTTCACTCATCTCTGGCCTATACAAGTATTTCCTGTATAACCAATACACACACGGAGGTGGGTGCCCCCCAGGCAACTCCAGTTCTCCTGACTCTTTTCCCTGAGCTGATCTCAAGTGTTCTCTAAGCACCTCTTAGGGAAAGAAATCATCTATGATGAGTTCTGTATTCAACCCTCCACCACAGAGGGGGCGCCCTGATTCTAGGCTCTGGTGACCAGCCGTGTTTCCCCTTTCCAGTCCCAGCTCTTACTCACCGGTGTCAGCTTGCCGGTCAGCAGCAGAAGCAGGGTGCTCTTCCCTACGCCATTAGGGCCAACGATACAGACTGTAAGGAGAACAGGTAGTCAAAGAGGTCCCCCAGAAACTTCCCCTGTGCTCCTGCCCCACATCCCCAAGCCACCTGACACCCACTCACTCCTTGAGTCCATGTCGATGCCAAAATCCAGATTCTTAAAGAGTGGTTTCTGGCTCTCATAGCCAAATGTCACACCTGGGAGCCAGGAAATCAGCAATTATTTTCAGAGTCCCCCTGAATGTCCTGGACTTGGAGAAAGGAATGGCCCACACTGCGTGGTGGATTTGGGGTGCATATGTCCTGTGTGCCCCAGTCTCTCACCATGCAGACCCAGCACCGGAGGGCTGAGTGGTGGGGGGTTGGGAAAAGTGAAGCGCACAGTGTACTCCTTGGGGCGCTTCAGAAGCTCGGGGGCCTCCTGAGATTCCTCATCCTGGTTTTTCCGTCGGCATTTCTGCTGCTTTCGAGTCAGGGCTTCCTTTGTTTGCTTCTCCTGGACAGAATGGGAAAGGAAGAAATCCACATCCTTCAGAGCCACCCTTGAAATGCAGGCTGGTGTCCCACAGTCTCCTTTCTCCGTTCTCCTTAAAGAAACCATGCCCCAGCCCCCTGAAGACCTCCAGCTGCTCACCGCTTGCTTGGTGGATTTGCCACCTGCCTTTAGCTCCTTTAGCTTTTTCTCCTGCTTTTCATACTGCTTCAGCAGTTCCTTCTGCTTTTGCTGGTACATCTTCTTGAAGGTCACTGGGGCAGAAGTGGGGTAGGAATTAATGTTGTCCCTCTCTGCAGCAGAGGGATAACCAGGACTGGTGAGGATAGGGACAAGTGTTACAGTCTAGATTCTGGGAAGGTATAGCTCATCATCACGTGCCTACAGGCCCTCCCTCCCAGACCTCTCCTTGAGGCCCTGTTGCTTTCCTCTACCCACAAATGATCCTACTTACTATAATTGCCCCTATAGTAATGGAGTCGCTGGGCATCAAGATGGATTATATCAGTGCACACATCATCCAGGAAGCCCTGGTCATGAGAGACGATGAGTAACGTCTTCCGCCAGCCCTGGAGGTAGCTGAGTTTTAGAGAAGAGTGTGGAAATGTCATAATGGTCACATTAGGGTTAAGTCAGGAAACAATGGGGTCAGGGAGGGAAGGTGGGGAGGTGGACAGGGAGCTGTCAAGGGCAGAGTGGAGTACACTTAGAGCAAACCGGGCAGAATGGGAACCAATGATGTAATCAACGGCAACTCACTTATTGAGCCAGATGACAGCATTGAGGTCCAGATGATTAGTGGGCTCATCCAACATCAGCAGCGTGGGCTCCATGAACAGTGCCCTAAAGGATGGGCAGCAGAGCATAGGGTCAGGGAGATCCTTACTCAGAGAACCCCAGAGAAGCCTGAGACCATGAACACTCCCTTCCCAATCTCTCCGTAGAGTAGCTCCTGTGCAGGGGACATCGCTGAGAATGTACCACCAGATGGGGAGAGAAGACCTGGAGTCTGACAATTCTGACAGTAAGGGAGGGAGAAGTCAGCCTCGACTCTTTCTATTGGCCTTGGAAGGAAGGGCCTGGTGGACTGAGGGTGGAAGGGTGGCGGCCCACCTGGCCAGGGAGACACGCATGCGCCAGCCCCCTGAGAACTTCTGTGTCGGCCGGTTCTGCATTTCAGGGTCAAAGCCCAGACCAGCCAGGATCCGTCTGGCTTTGGCCTCTGCAGCTGCTGCCCCAGTAGCCCGCAACTCCTCATATACCTGGGAGGAGGGAGAAGAGGACACGTGTCCTAAGGTCCCAGGACCTCCAAGTCTTAGCCCATGTCCCCTGCGCCATCTCCTCTACCTTCTCCAGCCTCTCAGCAGCAGTGTCATCCCCCTGCTCCAGCAGGCCCTGAAGCCGTCGCTCCTCTTCCAGCAGCTTCAGTCTCTTGGTGTCGGCTCGGAGAACAGCCTGCACAGCTGGTGTCTCATCCGCCACGACCTCTGGACGTGAGGGAGAATGTCAGTCAGGTTTCCCCCAGGGCCCAGGTCCTCATTCTCTTTCCCGCAGGTCCATTTCTCATTTGCCTGCCCCAGCCCAGTAATTTGTACTTGTTCCACATAAAACGTTCTCCATTCCTGCCTTTCCTCTTCCCTATTTCTTTAGTGACCACCTCCCAGTCCTTAGTACCCCTGTCACCTTTCCAACTCTATGACCACACCTCCTCCTATTTTTGCTTGGCTCTTCTACCCCAGCTGCCCACCACTCCGGTCCCTTGTTTCACCTCCCCACCAGGACCCCGTCCCAGCACTGGCCTCACCCTGCTCACATAGCAGAACGTCGATGTTCGGAGGGATGCTCAAGGTTCGGTTGGCGATATGCTTGAGGAGAGTGGTCTTGCCCTTGCTGAGGAATGAGAGCTGCTGGGACCAGGCTGCCATGGACAGATCTCTTCTTCTCCTTCCTGCCCACTCCCTCACACCTCCAACCCCCTTCTCACCCGTTGGGTCCCACAAGCCCGTAGCGGCGGCCGGCTACAATGTACAGGTCTGCGTTGACAAATAACTCCTTGCCATGGGCTGAGATGCTGAACTTCTCCAGCTGCAGTCATCAGGGAAGGAATGGCAGAGGAAGGAAGCAGGACACGGGAGCTCTTTTTAGACAGAAGCTGCAGTTTTCTCCCTGGCAGGGATGCCTCTGACAGACCGAGCTTCAGTATAATCCCTCCTCTCACCATGCTGGTTCCCGTCCCTGTCCAGACTTTCCTAGAGTCTCCCAGATCCTAAGCCAGTCTCGCCCACCCCGCCTGACTTCCTTCCAAGGGTGGACCACTCTACTTCCACTGCTGTTGGTTTTTCTGTCTCTCACTCAAGCTGGCAGAACTCTAGGTACGGAAAACAGCTCCAAACTTTCTTCCTGGTGGACCAAGCCACTTGCACTCATTTCCTTGGCTACCACGGCCACCAAAGGAAAGGATAACTGGCACTTCCCTGAGCAAGCAGGTTGGCAGGTGTCCTCTCAGACCCTACCTTGATGTCAGATGCATTTTCTAACATGGCTTGGCGGGAGGACACCTCCGCTTGAGACACAGAGAAATCATTTTCAGCAGCATTGGCTGCTTTTAATGAAGCTACCTGGCGCTCATACTCCATCTGAAAAGGAAAAAACACATACGAGGCCATCACCTGCCAGTTTCCCATCACCACGACATAGCCCCATGTCATCATCAGACACCCAGACAGGCTCACAAAACACAAAATCCTTATTCCAGCTGTTTTACTTGTGGTAGCCTCCAAAGCTCTCCATTTTGTCCAATTCACATGTTCCCTTGTTGAAGTATTAAAAAGAAAATCATGTCCTACCTGTCTGTAACCATTAAGAACCCAAGGACTTACTTGTTTCTTTAGCTTCTTCTTCTCCTTTTTGCTAAGGTGAGCATAGGGATCATTAGCCTTAGACTCCCCTTCTTCTTCTCCTTCCTCCTCTGAACCCTGGGAGAACCAAGGGGATGGTAATAAATGAGGAACCCCTTCCAGAATTCAGATTCCATGTCATCCACCCAGTCCCAGAGTCAGTTTGTTCCTTCTCCACCTGGAGTCCTGACATACTAAGCAGGGTCTCTCCCAGTTCTCCACCCCTGGCTGTGCAGTCCCTTATGCGCTTCGGCCCCCAGTAACAGTACGGGATAGCAAGTGTGACTATGTATGTATGAAGTATAACACTGTGTATGTGCCTCTAAACGTTAACTACCAATGCAACTGAGGGAAAGTAAACGGAACACGTTCTTTTCCACATATATCGGATGAGTTTCTGCAGTTTACACGTTAACATGCAAAGAAAAGGTCCGGAAGCCCTAATGTATAGCCACTGAGGAATCCTGAAGAATCACAGATTAGAAGGTGCTAGAGGTATATGGGACACTGAAGATCACTAGATCATAGAGATGAGGTAACTGTGATCCAAGGCACTGGAAAGACGGACTCAAGGATGTAGCAGGACAGTGGCAGAGTCAGAATCCTGACGGGTTCTAAGGTTAATGCTAGGGCCCTTTTCTCTGTGAATCAGGACTTGCAAACTATGGCCATGGGACACATCAGAACTGATACCTGTTTTTATATGGCCACTGGGCTAAGAATGGTCTTTACACTTTCAGAGTTGTTTAAAAAAAAAAAAAAGGAAGCACATGCACCACAGATTATATGTGGATGCTTATAAAAGTTTGGCAATGCCTGGCCTGGAAATTAACAATACCACCAGATCATGCCCAACTCCCAAGAGCCACAGAGCCCTAGTCCCTCAACCCACCTTCCCCTGACACCAAAATACACACCTGCTCTGCCTTCTTGGCCTTCTCCTTCCCTTGTTTGGGTGGCTCCTTTTCTTTTATTATTTCCTCTTCTTCCTCCTCCTCTTCATCGTCCAGAGCAGCAAATTTATTTTGAGGCTAACAGTGAAAAGACAGCGGGTCTGATGAAATGCTCTAATTCCTGAGACCCAATACCTCCTCCTGCCAATACTCTCTTACCTTGGCATTCCCCTTTGACTTCTCTTCCTTTCCCTTTTTGCCCTTGGGCTGCTGGTCCTCAGACACAGCCTGGAGGGAGGGAGGGAGGGAGACAGAGAGAGAGTCAGACACACACACACAAATTAATCTGCTACCTTGTTCCTTATCTAGCATTTCTAGGAAGTCAAAGACTAAGAGTTAACTAACTATACTGAGTGCTGCTAAGACAATGCTATGCAAAGGCTGCAAAAAACATTACCTAGTCTCCAGCTGAGAGTAAATAGTAAAGAGATAACTAGAGAATATTAGCAAAGCTAAGGAACTGTGAGCGAGGCAAGTGAGCAAAATGGATGGGGATGACACCAGCACATGAGGGCTTCCTCGAGAGGGCAAATCTTGAGGAGGTAATGGAAGTGGGCTTGGAGAAAGCATCCTAGGAAAGAGGGAAGACGTGGTATAAAGAACAAAAGCTTCTCCAAAAAGTAGAAGAGGAGGGAATACTCCCAAACTCATTCTACGAGGGCAACATCACTCCAATAATATCAAAACCGGGCAAACACACCACAAAAAAAGAAAATTACAGACCAATATCCCTGATGAATATAGATGCAAAAATACTCAACAAAATATTAGCAAACCGAATTAAAAAAATACATCAAAAATATCACCCTTATGATCAAGTGGGATTCATCTCAGGGATGCAAGGATGGTACAACATTCGAAAATCCATCAACATCATCCACATTAACAAAAAGGACAAAAACCAAATGATCACATACATAGACGCTGACAAAGCATTTGACAAAATTCAACATTCATTCATGATTAAAAACTCTCAACAAAATGGGTATAAAGGGCAAGTACCTCAACATAAGAAAGGCCATATATGATAAACCCAGAGCCAACATGATACTTAACAGCAAGAAACTGAAAGCTTTTCCTTTAAGACTAGGAATAAGACAAGGATGCCCACTCTCCCCTCTTTTACTCAACACAGTTCTGGAGGTCCTAGCTATGGCAATCCGACAATACAAAGAAATAAAAGGCATCCAGATTGGCAAGGAAGAAGTCA